CCTCCTCCCCGACCCGCTTCTCCGAGCCCGGACCCCACGTGGGGTCTGAGTGGTTGGGCCGTCGTCGAGCCCGGGCTGCTGGGGTGTCGGCCGCAGCCCATCGGTGACGGGAGCCAGGGTCACCCCGCCGGGCTCCGTGCGGGGACGTGCGCGGGCTGGGAGCTGCCAGGCCGCTTGGGGACTCGGGGCGTTCCCGGCGTCCTACCTCGACGACTGCCTTGGCGAAGGTCACGCACCAGACCCCGCAGCCGGCTCCTGAAATGGGCTGTGCCCAAAATTTAGGAAAGAGTTTTCGATTTATGTCTTCTTTCCTGTACTTGGATAGGGGACCAGTGTCCTGCAATGAATGATGACTTTGTCCGCCGACCACATCACTGGGCTTGGAGGCACCGTGCATTATTACACTCATTAAAATGAATGTGCAGTCACTGTATTGATACTGTCCTTGATTCATAAAACTATGGATTTCTAAATGGATTAAAACCAATGATACCAAAAATCATAATACCGTCTAAAAAAGATGGAATTAAACATGAAATAAAGAGTGTTTTGGTTATTCCAGTGTCAGTTTTGTCTAACATTAGCGATGTTGCTTTGGTCAGGTCATCTCAGTTTTCTAAACTCCGGTGACTCATTTATCCAGCAGAGTATATAAAATATCAACCGAAATGTGTTCATATATGTACACAACCCAGTGATAAGAAAGTTTGAATGGACCAGAGAGCAAATATGTCTCCACTGTTGTGGACTCTCCTTTGGAAATGATGAACGTGGGTCCATCGACAAGGATTGTGTGTTGCTGCTGAAACAGAAAACCTTACAATCAACATTAAACATTTTCACGACTGAAAACCATCCACCTGTGACTTTATTTAACCAAATGAAAAAATTGGGGGATGCCGGAACCAGCCCCTGAACAACACTGGTGGTCAGTGCCATGACATCACTCTGTCCTGGAGCCGAGGCAGGTGCCGGGCCCTCTCCTAGAAACACAAGCGCCCCATGCAGCTCCTGCCTCGGTCACAGCAGGACATGGCTGCTCCAGAGTCCCTGAGGTGACACCTGCACACCTTGCTGCAGGTACAGCCCATAACTGGAATATATTTGACTTGCGTGTCAACTGACATTTTTCTTCAAAGAATCTAAAGCTAGTGAGGTGATCTGCCCGTTTATACGGCTGTTTGTCCTTGCAGCCTGGGCCCAGCATTTCAAGAAGCTAGAACATACTTACAAAAATGTAGAACAGAAACCTGAACACAAAACAGTACGCAAAAACTATACTCAAAAGTCTAACTTGCCCTTTAAATACAGTTCGGAAATATATTTTTGAACATTTTGATTAAAAAGTGAGAAAGTACAGGCTCTTGGATTGCACATAAATAAAGCAAACCTTCTTTTACCACTTCTTACGTGTGGAACCTAAAAAAGTCAAACTCACAGACTCAGAGAGTAAAGTGGTGGTGACCAGGGGCTGGGGGCTGCAGAGAGGGGTCTGGGGAGTTGTTGGTCAAAGGATGCAAAACTTCAGTTCCACAGGAAGAGGGAGTTAAAGAGATCTATCGTACGACATGGGGACGATATTTAATAACTGCATTGTATGCTTGGAAATTGCTAAGAGTAGATCTTCAGTGTTCTCACTACAAAAAATGATACACACGTGAAGTAA